CAGGACAATGATCCAAAACACACCAGCAAGTCCACCTCTGAATAGGTGAAGAAAATTAAGACTTTGGATTGGCCTAGTCAAAGTCCTGACCTGAATCCTATTGAGGTACTGTGGCATGACCTTAAAAAGGCGGTTCATGCTCGAAAACCCTCCAATGTGGCTGAATTACAACAATTCTGCATAGATGAGTGGACCAAAATTCCTCCACAGTGCTGTAACAGACTCATTGCAAGTTAGCGCAAATGCTTGATTGCAGTTGTTGCTGCTAAGGGTGGCCCAACCAGTTATTAGGTTTAGTGGGCAAACACTTCTTCACACAGGGCCATGTAGTTTTGCATTTTGTTTTCCCTTAATAATAAAAACCTTCATTTAAAAACTGCATGTTGTGTTCACTTGTGTTATCTTTTACTAATATTTAAATTTGTTTGATGATCTGAAACATTAAAGTGTGAGAAACACGCAAAAAAATAAGAAATCAGGAAGGGGGCCAACACTTTTTCACACCACTGTAACAGCCAACAATTAACAAATTCCCCAAAATAAGGAGGATCTCCAGTTACAAACAGAAAACACTGAAACAAAAGCAACATATATTACAGTATTTTACATATTAGAGACTTATTGTGCATTTATTATATTATAGGGATACATGATTAACAGTGGCATGCTCAGACCTCCGAACGAGGAGGGGAAATATTTTGCATTGCAGATTAAAGGGGGAGGGGCTTATGCCTTCCATTTGATGGTTTAATGTTTCAAAATGAAGAAATTAATCCATAAATATTAGTATTGTAATTTTACAATTTTGTTATTTTTTTAATTTTCATGTAATTAGTATTATTATTACCACCATTTATAGCCATATTGATATATAATCACAAAATTTTGGTCAAATTGTGCAGCCCTACAAACAAGGCATTATATAAATTACCAATATTATATCAAAATTTGAATAACATTTTTGTCTAAAATGCAACATATCACAACTTCCACCCTCTTTATCGACCGATACATCAGCACATCTCGTTTGTGTACTTGCAGAGTGTATTTCTGGGCTTACAGTTTGCTTTACACACACCAACTCTCATTCTCCTACCACTTCTAAACCGACTGAAGCAACTGACACAGCACAACTTTCCAAAAACAAAATTTTTCCTAAAATATCTTCCACCGATCTAAAGATCCACCTGTTCTCCAGCCATCATTTGAAATAGTCTGTGGTTGATTCACTTTACCACTGTAACATCAGATTTAATCGGGCAAAATAAGTCTTGCAGTTTGCAATATGTCATCAAAAAATGACATGTAGAAACAGGCTGAACCTCATTTGGTGCGATAGAGTGAAAAAAACCCCACCTTCATCAGTCAGACAGTGAGAGATGAGGAGAGAAACTCTGATTGGATTCAGAGCCACTGAGGCTCAGCAGCCGTCGCAGTAAATCTCACCTGCATGCAAGGCGAAGAGGCGATATCGACTCCCACCGCAGGAGCCGCAATACACCACGGACGAAAAAACGCCCTCCATTAGCAAAGCCAGACTTATTCATAGGTACCTTCAGGCTAAGAGAACTTTGTTGAATTTATAAATCTTTCACAAACGTATCGAGTCAACCGTGCAGGGGCTGTTGAGGGGAAAAGCATGTGAACAAGTCAAACGTGTGATTCACTTTGAACACAATTTCAAAAAGTAAACAAGTCTAGGCACTTTACAGAGCAAACAATTTTATGTTTTTAATATCGATGCAGACTTTCAAAACAAGTCTCTGGAGCTGAGGGCTCCTTATTTGTGTTACTCGCTTCCATGCTAGTCAGTCATTTAGTAGATGCTTTTATTCAAAAGCCAATCCCATGCTAACACATGCACAACCATTATAAGACTTTATAAGTTACACAAGACGACACACCTGCTTAAAATTGGCAGCAGTGCCCTAATGACCATGTGCCAACAGCATTCAGAAACACTCGGCTGAGGTGTTATGGAAGGCTGTTTGTGTGTGAACGTGAGCGTGTTTTTGTTAAAAGCACCGTATGGTGAGGTGTTGAGCTTGGCTTTATCCTCTTAAATATGTTGTATCGATCTCACCTTCTCCGTGTTTAACATCTGGTACTGCCCCGTTTGTGTGTGTGTGTGTGTGTGTGTATTAGTCTGTCGCTTGTGTCTAAATGGGGATTGTTATCCATTATCAGTGTACATAACACTTTTATCAAGTTTTGTGTACACAAATAGTGGGCATAATTGAATGAATGTGCGTACACGTTCAGACATGCCTCTGTGTATCTATTAGGCGTTGCACAGACTAATCGACTAGTTAACTAGTCGACTTCAATGCTCTGCCATGACGCTTTAAGCTTGACGTCGACTAGTCGCTGGTCCTATAGAGGGCGCAACAGGATAAGAAATCTTTGAAGGACTTCCACATTTACGCTCCGTTTCCGAACAGTTAAAATGACAAATAAATGCATACTCTGAAAGTGCTCCACAAGACATGTGAGATTATATTACTGGATGCTCGAAATTGAACAGGAGAATGCACGTTTTAAACAGCTTATTGTACAGGTAGGTAAATTAATTGCCGTCCTAATCTAATGCGCTGCTGCACTGTAACGCACACACATTACAGACAGTAGCTCGTACATTTCGCGCTGATCGGGCGCACACAGAATCATTCAGCGCGGAAATGTATTGTCAACACTTCTGTGATTTCTCAATAAAATAGCTTTGAAACTGAAAAGTTCAAGCATATATTTCTTAATAACTAAATCCCACAGCTTCACTACTAGTAGAGAGACGCTGCCAGGTAGAATTAATTCACACACGCAATCGCTCTCACTAATGCATTCATATGAATGTAATCGTTACTGAGCTACTTTATCTGTATCTGATTTAGAACGAGCAGAAATCTGTGAGAAATATAACGACATAAAGACAAAAGAACTGATAAAAATGAGCTATTATAGGAGCGCAATAGCCATGTGGACAGCACTGTGTCATATGCCATAGCTGTGCACAAGGTGTTTGTCACAGCTCCAGACTTGTTCATTAATGACGTCATCAGCGACTAGTCGACTTCGACTCGACTTTCATAACATAAAAGTCGACTTTAAAAAAAATCAGAAGTCGTTCAACCCCTAGTATCTATACTATTGTATGTGTGTCTGGTTATGTGTAGCCTTGCTTTATATTATGACAATGTGGCACTTTCATTTACCATAAATAGGGTATAAAATAGGGATGTATTTTTTTCTTTTTCACATGGCCAGTGAAAGAAATGCTTAACTTTTAGAAAACAGGTTTTTAACTTCCATTCATTTTCCATGATGCCAACATTATACCAAAATTTGTATAAGTACCATTTAAAACCTGATTTTTAAAAAATAAATAAATTGTAAATAAAAATCCTATAACTGAATATAATAATAATAATAATATGTTATTATAATTTATTATGCAATTATCCATTTAACATATATACTGTATATATTAATGTTTAATAAATAATTAAATATATGAAACAAATAAAAATAAAATAAATAATAACATCTAATAAAACTAAATATAATTAATTGAAAAATACTGTAGAATGGGTAAAATGGTTGCAAATTTAGCTTAAATCAAGCTGTCTGGCTGTAGTTTGGGCCAAATATTAGTTTACAGGTACTAATAAACTTACAATAAATATTTGTTTGATAAACTTTAATGCAAGTTATAAATAATAAATATAATAAAATTATACTTTGTATTATTTACATAATATTTTAATAGTTCTTACAACAAATACATGTGATTTATCTTCTAAAGCTTTAAAGTCATAGCCGACCCAAAAATTTAAATTGTAATGATTTACTCACCCTCACATTATTCCAAAACTCTACAGGTACATCTCAATAAATTAGAATGTCACAACATTCTTCAAAAATATCTTCACACAGAAGAACGACATAAGGATAAATTATGACAATTTTCATTTTTGGGCAAACTATCCTTTTAAAGAAAGAAATTGGACACCGAAGTATACATGGAATGTGCCATGTACATCTTTCTCTTTCTTTAATTAGGTGATCATACTAGTCTTACCTTCCATCTGTTTTCCCACTTCATCAGGCTGGCCTGTCTGCATCTTCTTTTCTGGGCTACCTCCTTTCTCTTCCCCTTGACAGAACGAGACAGATTAACATATTAACGGATAAAAAAACACACAATGTTAATCCAATAACATTGTCCTTTCCGATTTGCTCACTTCTCAAAAAGCTCCATTTATAATTCATCCAGTTCAGAATCACCGTCTCTTTATTTCCTCATTCAGATCCGGCAGCCGGTGAGATTACAGTTATATTTTTAATAATGGGGCTCCGAGACAAATTTGAAGCCATGCCCTCAAGAGTGAGGGGAGGACAGCCTGTATCAAACTTAGAAGATTAAAGACACGACAGCTGTTTCTTCTGCCCTCTCATACGGCCTAAAATGGCTGACAGCTTTTTCACAGCATATGCCTGTGAGACAACACTACGCTGTGTTTTTGTTTTCAGTTTTTAAGTTGTCTGCATTTAACAAGGCTGTGCGGTCACAAAAAGCAGGCTCGTATTAAGACGTCAGTGCTTTGTATGCTTGGCGAGTTTCAAAAAACGGTTAAACACACACAAGGCCAGATTTTAAAACCTGTAATGGCTTTACTAAGAGGATTTTCATGACAAATCGAGAGATTAGGAAATTCCTTGGCATCCAAGCTGCTAACCAGCCATCACGACGGACTCTGGAGATGCTTCCAATTTCTACACAGAGGCTTTTCAGAAAATGTAAATTTCTGCATTTACATTTTGATTGTATACATAGAAAACAATCAATCAATACACATTCAAAATACAAAATACTTTTTTGAAAGGGAAAAACTGGCTGTCACATCTTGATAACAGGAATAGAGGCTTCCAAGCTGTCAATTCCTGTAGGAAACCTATAATGACTGCAGAATGCCATTATGAATGCAATTACATTAGATAACAATATCTCACATCAAACAGCATTTCATTGGTGGAAAGACTTCACAAGCATACATTTTCACTAAATTTTTCGATTTTAAATGATAAAACAACACATATACTATTCAAAGAATTTGGACAATTTCTGGTTTGGAAAAAGTTTCATCCACTAAAAACCAGCTGGTTAAAGAACATGAAAAAAGTGCTAAGGAAATTAATTTTCAGAAAAGGTTAATCATCTGTTTGCAGATGCCACAAGATGTATATTTTTTTTTATCTAATCACATTCATTTTTAATGGCTCAAGTGTGAAAATGCATTTTAGGCTATTCTCATAAACATAATTGCTCATAAAGTGAACAAATCTCACATAGTCCATTAGACATTCACTGACAGGCTTTTGTCATTATGAATTAATTTCATATACCAGCTCCTCAGCTCTCCTTTGATCAGTTTTGTTATAGTTATCAAGTCACACATGCCAGACAACTTTCCGGCTTAAGCCTCTGATTAATCATGTCCTTTCAGGTGCACTCTGGGTATGAACATGAGAATGTGAGTCTATGATCTCCGTCTATGTGTGAATTACTTAAGCTATAAGGATTAAGCCTTGCATTAGAGCTGGTGTCTTACAGGTGGATGCTGTGGAGAACCAAACTAGTTTGGCTAGCTTGTTGACATTTGTGGAAGTTGTTGAAATTGCTTAAGATTACATTTATTTGAAAATGATGAGAAATTTGCCAGAATTTACATTGCTCAGCCTTCAGTGAATTTTTAACTGTCACTTTAGTGAGCTGTAGCTGGCTTTTAGTGGGCAGGATTGCATTAAGTAAGAGTGATGAAGAAACATGTGGAATGTGAAAAATGTGCTTGTTATTATGAACGGTGCATCTTCTTATGTCACCAAGACTGGCTCAACAGCAATATTATGAAATATTATTACAATTTAAAATAACAATTTTCGATTTAAATATATATTATATATGTAATTTATTCCTGTTATGGCAAAGCTAAATTTTTAACAGCCATTACTCCAGTCTTCAGTGCTGCATGATCCTTTAGATATCATTCTAATGTGCTGAATTGGTCAAGAAACATTTCTTATTATCAACAACATTGAACAAAATTATGCTGCTTAATTTTTTCCTGTCATTTTTTGCTGAATACGTTTTTTTTGGTAAAACTTAAAATTGTATAATGCTGTCACATTAAAAAAAAAAAACTTTTAAGTCAATAAAATAAATTTTAAAGTTTAAATTTTTTGTGGCAACAGCCAACTTATTTTAGATTCAAACATAAAAAACTATTTATGTTTGAGCCAGCAAATCACTATACTCACTGAAAAAGAGTATACATGAAAGGAGTGTGCAATAAGACTTAATAACTATATATTGTGAGATGAAATATTGGTGGACGAGCACTCAGATTAACTTGATGAGTTCTAAATGATGGTTTTAATGGAGAGCAAATAGGCGACCCACTGCTTAAGACCGAGCGGTATTACGCCGCCACTTTGGGATGAACTGGAGCAGCTGTTTCAGCCTAATGCCTTTAATTTGTATTTGTGTCTCTGTCCCTCCCCATCTCATCCCTCTTTCTCTTTTAAAGGGATGGCGAGTCATTGTATCCATCTGTGCGGTTCCAGCTAACACCTGTGTCTGCTCTGGAGTGGGATACAAGGCTGCAAAAGACATAAATTTTGCCCTCGCCCACACACACATACACACTCCATCAGATGAAAAGACACAAAACAGGATTTTAATGCGCACGTGTCCACCCTGACTCCATCTGCGTGGAAAGCATTTGAAGTCGCAGTTCAGAGGGACACAGACACACGTTCACATAAATCAATGGAGGAGTAGGAAGTGTGTGGGGTAGTTTGGCTGGGCACACCACCTGGGCAATATGTCCCTCACTTATAGATACCAAGACTCATGTAGCGTCCTGCAGGAAAGTAAGATTTATATCACCCACACACACTCGTAGCAGCTGCCTGAGGACTCTTGATCTCACTGCATCCCAAGAGGAGCCCAGATTGCTCACTTTACTGCTAATTTTTTAAGTAAATGTATTTCTGTGGTGTGGGAAAGCGGATTTCAAATATTAAACCCAAGATGTCTAGACTGTTTTATCACTTACTGTCAGTGGTGCAGGATTTATTTGAATATTAAAACTGTATTTACCTCATTTCAAACCACAGGTGGTAACAAACATTGTGGGTAGGTCTGCGCAATATATCACGCTTATTGAAATATTGCACATATGCATATCGTGGAATGTGAATGCTGGATATGTCATTTTCTGTTTTTAAATACTCAAATATTTGAATAAAAATATTCACCTTAAACACTATTAATTTTCTTTATTGCATCACATAGTATTTTTTATATTGTGCAGCCCTAGTTGTGGGTTAAAAACTGGTATGTTTAGCCAGCTTTGAACACCAAGTTGTTCTAAATTCTTCAAGAACAGCACAGTCATGGAGAGATACACAATATATGTTCCTGCGTGAACTGACTATTTGAAAATGAGTAATACCAGTCATTTTCAGTTACAGACGCCTGGCTGTTAACAGTTACAAATACTGATATCCACCAAATTAACATATTAGAATGATTTCTGATGGATCATGTGACAATGAAGAATGGCTGCTAAATAAATCAGCTTTGCCATCACAGGAAAAAATGTAATTTAAAAGTATATTAAAACAAAAAAATAGTTATTTTAATATTTGTAAAAGTAGTTTGTAATATTATCATTTTTATTAAAATAATTAAACAGATACATAAATATTGCCTTGGTGACCAATGACCATAAGATACATAACATCACTGAACAAATCAAAATTAGCAATGAACATAATTACATTCATAAAATAAAATGGTAAAAATGGTTCACTGTTAGTTTATGATATCTTATCTTAAAAATAAAATGTTCCAAAAAAGGTGTTTTTGCAGTGATGCATTAGAAAAACCATTCTGGTTTCCCCATTTTTATAATCAAATTTTTCTCTATAGAATATTTTGTAGCATGGAATTTTGGATTCTGCTAGAGCAAAATATGGAAGCAGGCACACTGGAGATGTTACCTATATGGTCTCCCTTTTCAGGAGGTTTGATCTCCTCATCCTTGGATTCAGCATCAGGGCTCTCGCCTTTGGAAAACAAACAGACAGAAAAACAATTATACTTGTTTCAAAAAATATCTGGACACCCTAAAGACCCACATGCACCCTTGAATGACAGACACCAAGGCAGAGACAACAATATGGGTGTCATTCATTTAGAAGATAAATTGCTTATTTTTGTCAAGCTTGGTTTGTTTTTCCTGCTGAAATGAGATGTATTCAGCCAGAGTATGAATTTTACTCCTGTGGTTGTGTGTGAAACGGCTTGTGTAGGGAGGTAAAATTCATACAAACTCTTTATCAGTAGGATTTAATGCTGTTTGTACACAGATATATGGCCATATATATTGAAAATATGTGAGAAAATAATAATAATATATACATTGTGTATACAATGTATGAAAGAAATAATGTACACACACACAAATTAAAAGAACACACAACAAACAAACATGAAAAAAACCCAAAACAATGCAGATACATCTTTATGTGCTGGTCGGCACTCGTGATTCATGAGTCGCAGGTGCTCAGCACTCACGTAAATTCAGATTTAGCCTCTGTCTCTGCTTCACCTGGTCTTAAAAACCTCTCTGTTTTGCTTTTCTCCTGGGAACATAATTGCAAGTATCTATGGCTCTTGGGTTCGGTCCAAGCAGAACATTTGCTTTGCCTCCTCTGCCTGGCAAAACTACTATTAATAATGCTCATAGCTACATCCGTCAGTGCCGGTAGAGGAAAAGTAAATCAAAAGTTGGCGATAAGCATGTCAAAAAGCACTGGCACTTTGGTACCACGCTGATAATCCTAAACCAAAACAAAACAAAACTACGGCTTATGAGTTTGCAAATGCGATTCAGAGCTCTGCAGTCAAAGTGACATTAAGTGCACGCTCAATGCTAGCCGAGCAGAGACAGGCTGCGGCTGGTTTTGTCCTCAGGGTTTGAACGCAAAATTTCTATCGCGCTACATGAATACCCAGAGGGAGTCGGGCCATGCTCCTATGAGCGTGTGTGTGTGTGTGTGCAAGCAATCATTTCAGCGTGTGCAGTGGTGTGTGTCTGTCGATGCACATGTTCTGATGTCTGTCTGTGTACGTTCGTGTGGATTGGAGCGAGGTGTCTCATTAAACAGATGCACCCCCAAAACACAGACACACACACACACACACACACACACGAGTGTCACGTTAATAACTGTATCTGACAGCCACTCTCCCTTTCTGTAATGAGACAAGTTCAAGGACAACAGAGCCAATCCAGATCCTTCAGTGAATGGGTTCAGCATGTCACATGAAGCGTAAAGACTATGGAGAGACCCAGTGAATTTTCTCGCTCACTTGCAAGTAGACTCCAAGTGTTTGGGAGAGATCTATGCATACTGAACCACAAAGACAGACCTATTTTGCATGTCCTCTGATTCCTATTGTTCTCGGCTACTGGACATTATGAGAAATCAGGAAGTATGTAGTGGTCTGAAAAAGTATTGGTAAACTATTAAAGACTTAAGTCATATTTAAATATGTATGAATGTCATAAATATATATGAATGTTAGATACTGAACCAAATGACATCTGCAAATAGTGCTGGAGGTGTCAAGTGAACCAGAAAGTGTCCAAATACTATTTAATAATTGTTTAATAATATACTGTATATCTTGTTGTATTACTTAAAACCTTAGAAACTTATTTTTGTTAAACGATTTGTAAGAAAAGCTATGAAATATGCTATATTTCATAAAATGTATCTGATATTTTGTTATTTAATGCAATTTCATTCACAATTTTTTTAAGTGTGTCTTAAGTGTTTAACTTTTTAGGGGCCACTGTATGTGTTGATGAGCATCATCCCATTGGTTCTTGTAGTAATCTGGACTAAAATTAAAAAATAAAAACAGAATGACGACAAACCTTCTGGCTCCTGGCTATCCATCGTCACATCCTTATGGGATCCCTCTGAAATCAAACAAGAGAAAAGCTTGATAACAAGATTTGTGTCTTTCTTCTTAAACCTTTCATCAGACTGTAGTGGCTAATCCCATATTAAAGAAGAGAGGATGATTGTTATCTAATCACTCCTGCTGCTGGCAAGCAGAAATGAAAGCACAAATTCCTCTGTGAAGAGGAACAGGAAAGACTCCAGCTGATGTTTGATTATCAAAAGTATTATTATACTTTTTTCTTAATGGCTCACTGAGGATGAGAAACTTTCAGCGATTTTGATATAATAATTTGATATTACAACATCACACAGATTATTTAATCCCATCTTTAATCCTATAGTTAGCAAAGTTTGAACTATTTACACTGAGGATGTTGTTTGGTTCTTGTTCTGTAGTTGAATTTGTTCTGAGTACAAGCCAATCAGTAAGTTGTAGTAGATAAAATAACTCATTAAGTACTGACAAATTGCGTTTGCTCCTAAATTGCGGTGACAAGATGATAACATAAGCTAAAAATACTAGGTTAACAAGACACAGGAACATTTTGATGTGTCTTTCAGAAGAGACCAGCACTAAAGTAAATCTGCAGGCCTGCTCTTCTTTCTTGTAAAATATAACTATTTGGAAATGACTCTGTCTCAGGGTTTTGCATTAAAAGGGCAATGCCAGGAAAAACTAAATTCTCTTAGCTTTAAACAATAATACACAAAAGGCATACCTTGCTGGCTCATCATTTCTTCATCCTGCTTTTCACCTATAAAAAAATGGATGTATTAAGGGTAAACATTCTACTGAAATACTTCTATCACCAAAAAAAGAAGAGAAAAAGAGAGAGAGAAGCACAAAGAAAAAGAAAATGGAAAACTCTAAGCAAAGCAAACTAAAACAACAACAAAACAGGAAAAGGCAAACCAAAACAAAACAGAATAAAAACAAACAAATAAACAACAGAAAGAATCTAATCTAAACAAAACTGAAAAAAACACAACAAAGCAGAAAAAAGGCAAAGCAAACCAAAACCAGAAAACAGACAAATCCCTAAACACACACACACACACACGTTACAACACTACTACAGTATCACAACTCCAGCACATTGATGGGTATGTTCAAAAACTGTTCGGGAGATTTATCTTCCCTCAAAATCCTTGATAAAGTAGTCCACACATTTGTCTGGAGGAATACTCTACTACTGTGGTCATGTTTTACATCAAATATTTATAATAGTTCTGTCAAACTGGATGTTTCATCGCTACACTAATTTTGCGCTTTCTCAATATCTCTAAACTGCACAGAGTGCCGTCCCAACGGACAGCTAAATACATCTCAGCAAACCCCACACAGAACTCCAATGAGCCGCAGCCGTGCATCCCACGGGCTTACATGAATGTGTTTATCCCAAGTGGGTTTAATTTTGTCCCTCTCAGTCACTTTAGTCCTCTAAACTCGACATCTCCTTCTACCTCTCCTCAGTTACATCATGATGCTCCACCGGACTCTCTCTCTTTAACCCAGATGGGGTTGAATCTAAACAAAACTGAAAAAAAACACGAGAAAAACACAACAAAGCAGAAAAAAGGCAAAGCAAACCAAAACCAGAAAACAGACAAATCCCTAAACACACACACACACACACACGTTACAACACTACTACAGTATCACAACTCCAGCACATTGATGGGTATGTTCAAAAACTGTTCGGGAGATTTATCTTCCCTCAAAATCCTTGATAAAGTAGTCCACACATTTGTCTGGAGGAATACTCTACTACTGTGGTCATGTTTTACATCAAATATTTATAATAGTTCTGTCAAACTGGATGTTTCATCGCTACACTAATTTTGCGCTTTCTCAATATCTCTAAACTGCACAGAGTGCCGTCCCAACGGACAGCTAAATACATCTCAGCAAACCCCACACAGAACTCCAATGAGCCGCAGCCGTGCATCCCACGGGCTTACATGAATGTGTTTATCCCAAGTGGGTTTAATTTTGTCCCTCTCAGTCACTTTAGTCCTCTAAACTCGACATCTCCTTCTACCTCTCCTCAGTTACATCATGATGCTCCACCGGACTCTCTCTCTTTAACCCAGATGGGGTTTGGGATGAATTGGACAATGAAGACCCTGACACAAATAATCCGCTGTGCTTGACAATGCCCATTACGCTGCTGACATAATTGGCTTTTTTAACAAGCTGGTGTGAGAAGCAATTTTCCAATGTCTGAGCAATTTATTTTCTCACCACATACTCTTAAACTAATACAAAAAAGAAAAACAAACACAATATGCCAAACGACCTTCATAAAATGTACCATGTTTTGTCGTTAGCCTTGCCTCTAGTATTGCTGTCAATCAAATGCTGCTTCACACCCACTGGACCCCCTAGACTTCTTCCTTAAATATTGATAAACCAATAACAGCAGATTATGATATAGTGACTTTTTATTCATTTAGAGGGCAGAGGTCATTTCTCCAGTGACTGCAGCTCAATGTTTTGCTCACTAGATGAATTATTATGTAGGAGAAGGTATGTCATCCTGTGGACTTTGAGAACGTAACTTTAAAAATGCTGCATTGACATGAAGGAAGGAAGGTATATTCAGATCCATGTTAACCCATGATCCTGTGCGTGGGGTTAAAGCACTGACTTAGGCACAGTCATAGCATCCTATTGCTAAAAAGGCCCTTGTCTTTGATGGTATTCTTGTGAGGAACCAGAAGATAAATTGGATTCGGAAATCCTAAGAAGATAAATCCCCTCGGATTCAATGTAGGGTCATACGATCACCATGGGATGATCACTGAGGGATGTTTTTTATAACTTGGAGACAAAAGCAAATTATTTTAATTTTGTGATGGCCTCTTTCACATGGGAAGCAGTTAAAAGCAAAGAACGCAAAGTTAAAATAGTTAAAGGTGGACGGTTTAGAAGTTTATAAATTGTGAGTAAGCTATTTTCTTGATTTTAAAATTACACCGGCGGTTTTATTAGCGAGAGAGACATTGAAATAACCCAGTATGGAGTCATCACATCCATCAAAAAATGACTTCTTGTCTATTACACATCCAAACAACAAAAACTAAGGCAAGCAAAGACATAAAGACGGAGTACTGACTTTGAAGGAAGAGAAAGGACATCTGAGGCCATGGAAACAAGCATTTGGTGTCGGGTTTCATTATTTTATGATTTTATAAAACCAATATGCTGAATAAGGATGTGAATTTCAACTCAATGCAGTGACCCAGCAGTGAGTCGTTCTACCAGCAGATGGCAGTAGTGTAACAGAGTTCAGATGATAGACACTATCACACACTCCCACACGCACACATTCAGGAGGAGGATGCTCACTTGCATACATGCAGAAACGCTTCTGTGAGCTACCTAGAAAATATTTCTAATTCTATACATTTACAGTCACATTACTATGGATCCGTAATCGTACAGGATCAAACAGCACACTTGTCTGAGTCTGAGTACTTCCTCCCATCACACAGTGGGGAATTCTCTTTCCTGTCAGTTAGGCCCTCCGAGCACAGTTCATGGTGAAGAACCGGCACCATGAAAAATGTATGAGCCATGAGATGGAAAGGTGAATGAGAGTGTCACAATCAACAGATGCTGCTCAGCAGCCCAGAATCTACCTTCTGCGTGTGTGTGTGTTGGCTACCACTTTTAAGAGCTACATGAAGCTAATGCGGTGCAGAGTCTTTTGATTCAGTGTCTCGCTCTCTGCCAGGGTCGGAGTTTAACAGACGTGTTTCCAGCTGTGCAAAACTGTGGACTTGGAGACACTTGAGCCACTAGCTACAATATACAATTGTAAAACTGCCCACCCTCGGTATAAATGCATCACTGAAGCTTCCTGTCGCTTGACCCCTCCTGCGCGGTTTTTCTTTCCATCCTCTTGTTGTGTTTTCTTTTCTATTTCATTGCCTCTATCTTTCCCTTACACACACATTTTTTTGTCAAACACATTTGGTTCAAAATTTTTTTATTTTTTTTATTTTTAAAACATTTTTAAGTTTCTATGGCATGAAAAACTACTTATTGCGGAAACATTTGCAACGTGTATGCAATAACAAATGTGTTAAAATATGATCAAATGAAATGATAATGACAGTGCAAACAGGGTAAAAAGCAAAAAAAATTAAAATAAGTAATGAAAAATTAAATCAAATAAAGAAGAAAGGAAGCAACAATTAATTTTAATAAAAATGGGAAAAAAACTTTTGCATGCTTTAGTTATATTGCTAAAGCATTTGCAGTTTACAGTTGCAGTTACATCTATTATAAAACAAAATTACAGTAGAGTAAAAATTAATTTAAATTAAAATACAAACAGAAAAATATATAAAGTATATATGGAATGAATAATATTATTTTATATAAAATAAAGTAAAATAAAATAATAAAATAAAAAATATTGACATGGTAGCCTCCACGTGGTGATTTTAAACAGATTTTATTAGGCTACTGATATGCTGGATTCTTTATCTCACATGCATGAGTGTATATTATATTAAACATATTTCAAATGTGCTATTTATTTCTTCAGGGGTAAATCTTTTTTTAATAAGGGAATAATACTGATCATTTAGAAGGTTAAACTAAAGGAAAATAAGACTAAATGCATTATGAGCATAAGTTTAGAGATATATGATGCCTCCTGTCTCTTTCTTTCTTCCACACACAGACCTGCTCTCTTTTTCTCTCCCTCTCCAAACATGCCCCCTCTGCCTTCTACATCTGCTGAGTACACAGTTAACAGCTCGACCTGCCGCTCCGCATCCTGATTCGCCCATCGAACCTGTCACCTCCTAATCTGTAAAATGCCTCATGTCACACACGCTAAACACACACTCACCCCACAGGCCATCTGAAAAGCTATCCGAGGGTGCTAAAATTCTCAGGCCAGTTCTGTGAACAATCCTTCTCATTTCTCCACACACCGATCCCCCCCATGTATGGATTTCATGTGGATTACATCACAAATCACTTTATCCCCCAAGAACTCTGTCAAGAAGTCCAGGCTCTCCACCCAAGCAGCTCGTCGGCTCTCTTAGGCCACAACCTGAGGCTGATGAGTCGGATTGAACGGACCGCCGCGGCCGGGCTTCAGCATGTCTGCGCTAACTGAGACTAAACCCGCCAGCCGCAGCTAATGCCCTCTGAAACCCTTTCTGTCTGTTTGTCTCATGATCTGACCGACTTCTCCAGTCCAGAAAGAGGAACCTCTGAGATTCACACATTCTTTTGCTGTGAAGGAAGGCAAGTGGGAGCTTATCTGGAATAAGATATTGTTTTCCTTTACGCTCCTCACAGGTAACCCGTTGAGGAACACGGAGAGCGTTCCAGATCAGTGCTTTCGGGGCCAGTTGTCCCCTGAGCATGTGAATGTATGAAGTGCTGCTTTAGGGAGAACAGCACTAATGCTTCTCTGTCATTAGCAGACTGTCTAAAAGGCCCTCTTGCTCTAACCTCAGTTAGAGAGCATCCCCTCAGGGAGAGTAGTGAATGTGTAATACAAAGCAATATCCCACCACGGCTGTATATCAACTTCCTCTGTTCATGAAAAACAAAGTTGCGGCCGGCGGGAATCCAATAGGCGAGCCTTAGCTGCAAGCTCTGGCTCAAGGGTAATGTGCAGGCAAAGCTCATTTCCCATGAATCAAAAAAGTGATTTCAAAAACATATTTAATGTGCCACTGTACCTTGTTCTCTGAGCTAGCTCATTTGATGTTGGTGACAGCACTAGAGGACGACGGCTGTGGCTAACACCTGTGGATAAATCATACACTGCGCTGCTTTAACGCGCTTTGTTCTGCTCCTCGCTGCCTCGTAACAAACACTGTTGTTTGTTGGTAGAGCTCAACTTCTGCAGAGCTAGCTTTAATGTTTACACTGTCCTGTGAAGGTTAAACGCGGGGCTCTAAACAAGGGTGTTGGTGACTAGATTGGTTCCCATTAAGACTTTAGATATGCAAGAAGTTATGGAGGCAGTGACACAAAATACAATCTGAATTTGTGAACATCGTTTAGACACCGTAAAAAAAAGGTCATTTGAAAAATTTCAAGTAATTTTAGTTAAATACTCTTAAATGTATAGTTTTTGGATGACTGTAAAGTGAAAAAGAACAATTCATCTTATAATTTACAGTTAAAAACCATAGATACCCCATGGCACTTCACTTTTCATTGAAATAACTGTTTCTTCTTAGTTTTTTCTAGTCATTAGTTATATGTATTAGGGTTTCATATTACATACTATGCTGTTAAATCAATGTTTACAGAATATTATTTTAGTGCTGGTGTTTTGTCTTTGTGTGTATGACACTGCACAAAAATAAATTAATAAATAAATAAAACACTTAAAGTTTACTGGAGAATGATTTACAAGAAAATACTATTTAAAATTTTCTACTTCAAAATTTCATGTTTAATTCAATGTTACTTGCTATTTCTTTGTAAATGTTACTAGCAATTTCTGAGTGAAAATTCCACACCATTTTTTTCAGTGTGTGTGTGCACCTTCTTTATATGTGTAGCCCGGGTGCGATTTGCCGGGGGGATGGGGGGGATAAAAAACATTCCACGAACCCGCTCCAACGTCTAAATCAAATGATTTGCGAATCGCGATACGCGCTTTGAAGTCCTGAGCTGAATCAAATGATTTGCGATACGCAATCCAATTGGAGCATTTCGAAACAGTGAATCGTTTTGCGACTAACTGATTCGGAGTTTCAAAAAGCTCCGTTGATGCCGTGTTCTTTGCTCACTTTTTCTATATAATCTATTCGTTGTTTGAATAACTGTGGAAATGACCATTACAATTAACAGGCCTAACTTACAATGTTTTTTATTCAATTTTGATCACATTAAATACAGTTTCCGTCGTATTAAAAACATTTAATGACTAAGAAGACGGGTAGTTGGATCAGTGTCCGCGAGTTTTATACGCCTATACAAAGTTTTCAAAAGCATCCCCACCTCTGTTTTTATCACAAATCGCACCCTGTGTATACTATTTACCTCAGCTTATGGAAAAGCTATTTGTGATGAACTGTTTCATCATGTGGCTTTCCAATTACCACCTGTGTTTTGTGGTGGTTGTCGGTGTATTATAAAGGTATTATAAACATACTTGAGTAATTCAGTACTTTAGATTAGAGATTATATCAGTTAAAAAAACACCTTTTCTTGTAAATTTAAATTAAATTGACAACCTAAAATGTTGCTACCCTATTTTTTTACAATAAAATTCTGCCAACCACAGCTGGAGTTTTTTTTTTTTCATAGATTTTTATTAATTTTTTTACAGTGTACCCCAACAAAAATACACCATGTTAACCATATAGTTTCCAGAAAAAGTGTTAAATTATTAAAAACAATTGTATATTTTAAAAATTATATTGTTCACTATTGACTTGATTTTATAGTAGTTCAACATTTGGCAGGATTTGGCAAATGTTTGTAAGGGTAGTCCTGGAATATATTTGTTGTTTAGAAAGGCAAAATCTGGTAGGTTGCTGTTTGCTAAAGTATCAGTTTACTGAAAAAAAAAAAAGACTTTATTATTATTAAAGAGAGATACCAGCCTGGGGAAATTTCCCCAAAGACATCAGTGCTGCCTGCTTTAATATTAAAGAAAGAAAGAAAAAAAACATCCATCTCCAACCCTCTGGCTTTAAAACAAATGGAGAAATTGTGGCGTTAATAGCCAGCTGCCGCCCTTCAGTGTATGAATTTAATTATCTTTAGTCCATCTTATTGATAAGCAAGTAATTGTTTCAGTGCTACACAACCGAAGAGGCTGAAATGGCAGAATTCGAAGTCTAACGGCTCCTTAAACAGGTTTCCTCACCCTGACAGAACGTCCCGAAGAGACTCCATCTTACTTTGATATTCCCTCAACAATGCTTGGAAGATGGGAATGCTAGGTGATACTGACTTTGACAGTTGAACTTGCACTCACAAGAACACAGATTCTCTCATACCTTTTTTATCAGCAGCATCATTTTTTTCCTCTTCTCCCACAGGCTGCGTGTCATCTGTCAATAAAATCATACCACTCATGAGAACATGAGAACTAAAAACAGATTTTTACATTTTCTGAGAAATGTGTTCTGGATGGCTTTATTAATTATGATTTTACAGTAGTACAGTAGTATCTCAAACCATAAGTCTTAGCAATAATTAGCAAGCACAATACAAAGTAAGAAAAACAGTTATGGGTGGACTTCCACCAGAAAGTCTTGTGTAACATATTTTAGTCAGTGTAGTGTCATATTTAATTCTTGACAGGAATAAAAACGAGGCTACGGGGGAAAGAGGTTGTACATTCAATTGATTGTACTATTGTTTAAAAACATAGCGATTGTTTAACTGATGAAAGGAGGTTTCCAAAAGAAACCTCCATAAAACAAAGTTGTAAAATGGCGAAAATGACTTGATCTAGGACCTTTATACAGTGTGTGCCAGAGCATGTGAGCGAAGCGGAGCGGTGTATGGACGTGCGCTCCGCTCAGTCGCTCTGACCGCACAAGCAAGCGCTCCGTTAATATTCCGCTCACGCTCACCGTGAACCAATTCCCGCTCAGATCCTGCTCCGACATAAAATTTCTCTAGTAGGCCTAATTGTTTACTGTTTGTAACGAAATTCTTGGATTATAGTCTAAAATTAAGCATGCTGATAAATAGCAATTATATTATAAAGGTATTATAAACATACTTGAGTAATTCAGTACTTTAGATTAGAGATTATATCAGTTAAAAAAACACCTTTTCTTGTAAATTTAAATTAAATTGACAACCTAAAATGTTGCTACCCTATTTTTTTACAATAAAATTCTGCCAACCACAGCTGGAGTTTTTTTTTTTTCATAGATTTTTATTAATTTTTTTACAGTGTACCCCAACAAAAATACACCATGTTAACCATATAGTTTCCAGAAAAAGTGTTAAATTATTAAAAACAATTGTATATTTTAAAAATTATATTGTTCACTATTGACTTGATTTTATAGTAGTTCAACATTTGGCAGGATTTGGCAAATGTTTGTAAGGGTAGTCCTGGAATATATTTGTTGTTTAGAAAGGCAAAATCTGGTAGGTTGCTGTTTGCTAAAGTATCAGTTTACTGAAAAAAAAAAAAGACTTTATTATTATTAAAGAGAGATACCAGCCTGGGGAAATTTCCCCAAAGACATCAGTGCTGCCTGCTTTAATATTAAAGAAAGAAAGAAAAAAAACATCCATCTCCAACCCTCTGGCTTTAAAACAAATGGAGAAATTGTGGCGTTAATAGCCAGCTGCCGCCCTTCAGTGTATGAATTTAATTATCTTTAGTCCATCTTATTGATAAGCAAGTAATTGTTTCAGTGCTACACAACCGAAGAGGCTGAAATGGCAGAATTCGAAGTCTAACGGCTCCTTAAACAGGTTTCCTCACCCTGACAGAACGTCCCGAAGAGACTCCATCTTACTTTGATATTCCCTCAACAATGCTTGGAAGATGGGAATGCTAGGTGATACTGACTTTGACAGTTGAACTTGCACTCACAAGAACACAGATTCTCTCATACCTTTTTTATCAGCAGCATCATTTTTTTCCTCTTCTCCCACAGGCTGCGTGTCATCTGTCAATAAAATCATACCACTCATGAGAACTTTAATCAGAAAAACAGATTTTTACATTTTCTGAGAAATGTGTTCTGGATGGCTTTATTAATTATGATTTTACAGTAGTATCAATAACTCTCAAACCATAAGTCTTAGCAATAATTAGCAAGCACAATACAAAGTAAGAAAAACAGTTATGGGTGGACTTCCACCAGAAAGTCTTGTGTAACATATTTTAGTCAGTGTAGTGTCATATTTAATTCTTGACAGGAATAAAAACGAGGCTACGGGGGAAAGAGGTTGTACATTCAATTGATTGTACTATTGTTTAAAAACATAGCGATTGTTTAACTGATGAAAGGAGGTTTCCAAAAGAAACCTCCATAAAACAAAGTTGTAAAATGGCGAAAATGACTTGATCTAGGACCTTTATACAGTGTGTGCCAGAGCATGTGAGCGAAGCGGAGCGGTGTATGGACGTGCGCTCCGCTCAGTCGCTCTGACCGCACAAGCAAGCGCTCCGTTAATATTCCGCTCACGCTCACCGTGAACCAATTCCCGCTCAGATCCTGCTCAATCTTCAGAAAGGCACTCTGCGCTCTTAAGGAAATATTACCACTCCGCTCCCACGCTCTGGTGTGTGCCATTGTAAAGACTTTAGGTCTATCCCTCATAACCTTGTTTTCAACAGCATTAAATTCATAAAAAAATATATATATATATATATATATAAAAAATATATATATAGTTACAAATAGTTGTTCTCTTTTATATATGCATAAAAAAAGCTCTCTATTAATCTCAGAACCAAAAAAGGGCAACTGCCAGCTCACTAAAAATCTAAGGTTACAAGGCACAGATTGCCCATACTGAACAGCTCTGATAAGGGTAAAATGAGTGGAGGAATATCCTGCTATTGTGTCATAGGTCTTGCTGGAGTGCATATACATGCACCAGGTGATTCTACATCAACAGGGGCTTTTGTGTGCCTCGGCAAAATGCAGCTGATAAAAAATGGGGCCTGTAAAAGTGTAGCGTAAGGGATTTCGGTGAAAGACAGCAAGAGGCTGAAACAGAGAGAGGGAGAGAAAAGGATTGATTGATAGAGAGCAGGAGAGAGCTGATACAGGGGGATAATGGGAAAAAAGCCTCAATTCCATGTGAGAATGGCAACCATTTGAGCCTTTGAATTGGTTCCAGAGAAAAAGAGAGAGAATCAGAGCCCCGGCTAAGTGAAGCGCTGCTAAAGGCCAGGGCTTGGCAGCCAGTCAGACATTCACTGAATGAAACTGAGGCTAAGCTAGCCGAAACTGCTGGGGCAGGAAAAGCAGGGTGCTGGGAGCTACAGTGTGTGTGTGTGTGCAGACGTGATACTTGTTGTGTTGTGAACAAGATAGAATCCTGATAGGTGTTGCCATGTCGGGTCATCTCGGTGCAGTGTTTACAATGAGGTTTAACAGTGTCCACAAAAGATGGAAAAGGTGATTGGTCTCTCTGGTTTTGTGCACAAGTAAACACAACCGCACAAAGCCCCAACACAAGAACTTACAGTAGTTCAGAGGGCTATTAGACGCTTGTTGGACTGCTCCAAAATACCAGTTTATAGTGCGCCCATAAAAAAGTCAAAGTTGGGTGCTGAAAAAACGCTTGTTCTGGATCGGATCCAATTTTGATGGGCGTCTCGGCTTACAGCTAGAGTCCTGTGAACAGCTTCTCACATTTGTAGTAAAAGTCATAGCATGCGAATACTTTTTTCTCTTCATGCCGTTGAGGTATGAAAATGTTCTCCTCCTTTAAGACGCTTCATTTAGCACTCCTTCTCTTTCACCCTCTGTGTTTTCAATCATCTAACTTTTGTGGAAACCATCAATGCTGGCCTTGTTACCCTGCCAGAAAATGTCCATCTCATAATTCCATGAAGTTTAAGTGGCTGCTGGAGACATGTTTGACCTGGGTTCAGGTCATCTATTATAATATGTATTAATATTTTAAATTAGCTTATATTTTTTATTTTAGAAATATTTAGAAATATTTCTATATAGCTTTTCTCAGTTTTAGTTATAGTAATTTTACTTCAACTTAAACTTGTTTTATTTCATCTGACTGACAAGGCAACATTGATAAGTTTTTCAAGTCTTCTTCAAGTTTTTCATCTAATGCATTTTATTTCAGTTTCATTTCAATTAACAAGCCATTTTTAATAGCTTTAGTTAACAATAACAACACTTTTTACTGTGATCTGACTGAAACTCTTGTGTAGCCTTCTCAGAGACTGGTATCATCCAACCTGTACAGGTTTTGTAGTCCAGCCTAAACCTAGAGATAAACCCAGATTAGATTACCATTGTACGATGCTCAGTTGTCTTTTTGGCAGTCGCTTAAGCGGGTTTGGGACCATTGTGGCTATGTAAGCCGGATTTAAGGGCCTAGCGCTGTGAATTAGCTTTGCACTGAATCATTTGTAATGCTGTACCTGCCGCCGTCTATTTAGCTCCTGTAGCAAACTCACATTAGTCACAATGAAACACCTTTATTTTCTATCTCTTTTTGTCCCTGTTAATGTACAGTTAAAGAGGCTTCCAGATGAAGGCCTTGTAATCTTTTCCGCTTTTCTGAAACTCAACAAAGAAGGTAAGGCGATTTGCATTTGAATGGACCACTGTTGGCCAAGCAAATTGCATTCCCATTTAATAATGTTTGATTGTGTCGTTGCCGACAAGATGGCGAGCGAGTCTGATTAGCTTTCAATCAATCTGACTATGGTCCAAAACAATTCAGGCCTGTAAGAGCACAACACCTGGCAACCTTCATCTCAATTAACTTGCCAAAAGACCAAAGCTGCACATGGTAACGCCAGCTAAACTATTTCAGGCATTCAGAGAGAAAATGTAGATTCTTGTTTTCTTGTTTATAGGCAATTGTAGAGCTGCCATCCACAACAAAAGGCCCCATTAATCATGGAGAGAGCGATTCAGATGTCGTGGATTAAACTTTGTCGGGCTCCAGGATATTGGATGTGATAATTTCCCATCTTTGTTTGCAAATGTGAACACTGCATTAGGAACCACTGTCACTCACCTTGGTCCATACTGCCATCTTTTTCATTCTTATGGTCGTCATTATCTGCAAGAGACAGGAAAAGAAATCAGGTCAAAAGCTATGACGACAAGCTAGACATGATCAAAAAAGTAGCCCAGCGAGCGTGGATTTCCGTGGGTTCATTCCTATTAGTAGTGTAACAAGAATTTAGCAAAGCAGGAACACAACACATCTTTTTACAGAGATGTCCCCTTTGTAAGACCTCAGAACAGGGCTGAACACAAAACAGAGGCAGAACAAGCATTGATTTTTACATTAAATCCAAGGTTTCTCTAAGGATTGAAAATATGTGGTTTGTTGAGTCCCCCAGGCAGTTAGTTCTAATGAAAGCTGAGCTGAGACAAGCCAAGAGCTCACAGACTGTTTGATCTGGATTGATGTATTATTTGAGTTCAGGCTGCTATCAAATGCTCATCTGTGGAAAGACAATCATGCTATTTGATATGATCCAAGCAGCAATTAAATTCAGCATTTGGAGGAGCGCCGAAATTGTTTCAGCTGAGGTTGAAGTCGCAATGTCTATATCAGTGGTTCGTAACTGGTTTTGCTTCAGAACCCACATTTTTTTCATTGGACATAATCCATCACAATAGCAAAAAGTTTTAAACTACAAAATTAGGAAACTCCTCAAAATATAATATTGCAATGCTACAATGAACTGTATAGACCCATTAATATACACAAATGTTTACATGACATTAATAGTAAAATTGACAATTTTGTAAATGTAGCAAAAGTTTTATTCTCCAAAATCTGGGCCAAACAGATAAATATGAGGCATTTCAGTAAACTAAAATTATATCCTCTGCAAATCAAATGGCACCGTTGTGGATGTGGCTTTATGTTGCTCAGTTTTTTTTTTATACTTTGAATTGTTATAGTCTTCAAGGATCTGACTAGCTTCAACCAAGTCACAAATGAGTTTGCAACAACATATACAGATTTTCAGCCTTTGATGACAACTAAAAATGACAAATGTTTCCCTTTCCTTTTTAAAAGTTGATTTATTTTGCTTTCCTAACTATTGATTCCTACATTTAGCAGTTTCTTTCCTGCAAGTGCACAAAACAGACCTGAGACCCATTTTTGGAACCTAAAGGGATGGGTCATGATGGTGAACTATTTTTCCAACAGTTTAAGTTTTTGAAGAATTTTTTTCTTATGTATATATTTTACATACTGTATTTTACATTTTAGGAGACTCATACATTTTTTTTTCTAAAATTTTAAAATAGTAGACTATCAAACCTTTGCAATCTGTTGTAGTCCATCCAGCTCTTTTCAAAGACATAATTTTATGTATCTCTAATCCAAAAAGTCCTGAGACTCATTTCTGGGTCCCGACTCAACTGCTGAGAACCACTGATCTACAGGATCTTGACCTGACTGTAGGTAAAAATACCTGTATTTCAGCCATCTGCCAGCTAAATATGCAAAGATCAGCATTCCTCCAGCGCTCAGCTCTCTTTTATTCTCTCCTCTGTTCTTGTTCTTGTTCGCTCTCATTCCCTCCTGCACAGGTCCACTGCTCTGTTTAACTCTGTTGTTTCTTCTTTTCGTCTTTTTTTTACACTCTCAGCTCAGAGTTCTTGCCAAAGAAGTCAATATGTCCCCTGAATTTTGACTCTCTCTTTTTCTGCTTGAGTCTCTTTTCTCTTCTTGTATGATGCCAAACCTACTGGACCTGAAGCCCGGTGTCTGCAGCCAAGGCTGTTCCCTGCCTGGTTGCAGCTCGTTAGCCATCCCTGACAACTGTTAGCTATTACCACAAACCAAACAGGTTCCAATTCATACACCGCTAACTCATAATTAGATCTTTTCTCCCAGACTTCTACTAAAAACTAAATGTTTAAAAGAAACTCTAGCTAAAAGAGAAGTTTTTTTCCCCCATAAAGTCAACATAAAAATCAAAATTATTTACTTTGTTCTCAATAAGACAAGGAACAAGCGATAACAATTTCATCAGTGCATCTTATTCTGAAGAAAAAAAGTTTGTCTCTGTAAAAAAAATGCTCTTCCTTTAAAATTAGTGACATTTTTGGAATCTTTTAGCTCAATTTTGGTATATAACCCCCACTTTTTATAATCCGTTGAACTCCTAATAGATGAAATCAAGTCCACCATACATGTTTTTCATTGAATATATTGTGTTTCACTCAGAAATACATCACATATGTTGAATGGGTTGTGAATGGCAAATCACGGTGACTTCAAAAACAGCTTTTTTATTTCATTTTCTAAGCCTCTTTCAGGCCTCATCAGCCTGTCATCCTCAGACAGGCACATGGTCACACATAGAAAAACACGTTCACACATACATCGAGCCTCTAGCAAAAGCTCCTGCTTTGATAAAACACTCCTGTCATCTGTTCATGAGAGAAAGACTGTCAAAGCTCCCTTAGGATGGTGGGGGCATGTTTCTCCTTTTGTTTAACACAGAATAAAAGCAAAGCATGCATTTATCTGGGGAAAAGAGGGGAAAAACAGTGACATCATAACATGCTGAGTCACAGTACACAGGGAGTAAAACCCTTCGGACAACCTTCAGCAAAGAGCAAGTGCCCTCTGTGCATCTGCCAGTTAATTATGCAACATAACAATGAAAGTGCTGTAAATGTAATGCACTGCTATGCTGTTGTATGATTTTTGTTTTTTGCACTTCTAAATGCACAAAGCAAGACATTGTGCTTGCTGTATCATTCCACCACTGTAATGCTGATTACTATATATCATTCCACCGCTGTAATACTGATTACCAATTTAAAAAAAATTACAAGACAGACAGATAGATAAATGGACAGATTGATGGATGGCTAGATGGACAGACAGATAAACAGATGGACAGATGGATGGATGGATGGACACAGACAGACAGACAGACTGACAGAAAGTTGGACAGACGGATGGATGGATGGACAGAGACAGACAGACTGATAGATGGACAGACGGACAGAGACAGAAAGACAGACAGTTGGACAGACAGATGGATGGATGGACAGAGACAGACAGACTGATAGATGGACGGACGGACAGAAACAGACACAGACAGACAGACAGACAGTTGGACAGACGGATGGATGGACAGACAGACAGACAGATAAATGGACAGATGGACGGACGGACGGACGGATGGACAGACATATAGATAATTTTTAAATCAAACAAATGTTGCAATGATTATGTGAGCTAAAGCAATAGATAGTCTAAATAATGAACAACTAACCAGAGACCTTTCTAATTCCACTGACCAGATGGACAGCAAGCACACAGACACCAACGTACATCCACTGTCTCTGCTCCTCCAGGAGAGCCAGACATGGGCCCCTGGGGGCCAGAGAGTGTGCTGGAACATGCTGCCTTTCAATCTGCTCATGTCTGAAAGCATTTTAATCAGTTGCTGGGCCTCCCAAACCAATCAATTACTTTAATCAATCAATTAGAGCACTGGGGTGCGACGAAAACCAGCTCACCACCCACCATTTTCTCCAATTGGATTAAAATTCCAGGCTGAAGAAAAAGCAAAAGAATAATAATAATAATAATTGAGAGGATGTAATGCTACATAGCCATGAAAAAAATTAAAATACAACGCACAAGAAACACATCAAAGTTTTTCTCACGATCAAATTCAACTGCTGCATGGAAATATTTCATTTTACAGTATGGCGTTAGAAAAGCTGCGTAAGTAAATGATTTGAAAGTAACACAGCTAAATCGCTGCTAGCTCCACACCACTAGCATAATGGCTGTATATTTAGCTACGTAAAGCCCCACACGAAAAAAATTAAAATACAACGCACAAGAAACACATCAAAGTTTTTCTCACGATCAAATTCAACTGCTGCATGGAAATATTTCATTTTACAGTATGGCGTTAGAAAAGCTGCGTAAGTAAATGATTTGAAAGTAACACACAGCTAAATCGCTGCTAGCTCCACACCACTAGCATAATGGCTGTATTCCTAGCTACGTAAAGCCCCACACATGGTGGCACTTCAAAAAATTCCCATGGTGTGTTTGATGATATTAATGCACCGTAACACACTCAACGTTTGTTCCCTGGAGACTGAGGACGTTGCGTGCGCAGCCTTCATTTTCAACTCTTTCGGGGGTCCAGAAGGCCCCGTCGACTTGCAGCAGACGACCATCGTCTCACCGCAAACACCCGGCTTTACGAATGATAGGCTTTCTGACACACTAACATTGGGAGAGGAAAGCCTCCATTAAAGATAGCAGGGGGGAGCTGTCGCTTGAGAACACGGCATAGAAACACCATGTAAATATGGATGTGGCTGGTGGACCAAGAGTGAGTGAGAGCGTGAGAAAGAGATTGAGAGACAAAGAGAGAGAAACAGAGCTTCATTTCCTGACCGAAAGTAAAAAATGTAATGAGATCTGACAAAATACTGATAAACAACACACTGATAAAATTATATTTTCTATCTATCTTTCTGTCTGTCTATTCATCTATCTTTCTGTCGGTCTATCCATCCATCATCTGTATGTCTATGTTTACGCACACACACACAAATATGGGATACACTTTACTTGAAGGGGTGTGCATAAGACTGACATGACACCTTCATAATCATGACATGACACCTACATAATTATGACATGACATGTCATGAATATGAAGGTTTTTTTATGCATGTTCATGACAACTGCCATTAAGTGTCATTCGCTCAGTTATGTAATTTTTAATGCAAAGATGACATTGTTTGAGATGTCTTTGTTATGTATATAATTAAATCTTTCTGCTTTTATACCTCACTTTTTGAAGCCACTCTATCATCATATTTCACACATTTCTCACAATTCTTTATACTTTATATATCTACTTATTTATCATATCAGTATAGGACATTGAAACACTGTGAAAGAGAGACAGAGAACATTAAATAAATTTTGCCTGAGATGTAAACTGCTTCATTGAAACAATCATAACCCATCTTGTCATAATAATGAAACGGAGATGGCACACCGTCTCAAAGCTCTGATTCCTCCTCATTCTCTAACAAATG